TGAAAAGCTCTAACGCTCCTCTAAGCAGTACTCCAAGTCATCCAATTCCAAGAAATTAAAAACATTTTGATTCCCTAAAAAAACCCCACTAACGGTAAATCCCATTTCAGCCGAAGAATTGTGCATTTTCCCAAAAGTCTTGGAAGCAGGGACCGATTTACACAATGCCTGGGTGTGTCAACGATTTGAAAGACCCTGGCCAGCTAAGGCAAAGCTAAAGATTTTGAAGTTTCTTGCTTGGAGTATCTCCATTTTGAAATGTCCAGCCCAAGGCCCAGTAAGTCTTATCCTTGTAAGCACCAAGTGACCATGGCTCAGGCTGAGGCTATAGGGAGCAGAAGGTGGCCATCAGTTTCAAAAATTCAGATGTAGGCAGCTCAATCTGGCTTCTCAGAAACAGGTATTTTTAAAACCACGTCTGAAAATGCAGAACTCTTTACACAGGGAAATCAAATGGTGAGCACGTGGGACCTGAAGCCATCCCCACTGAATCCGACCAGAATTTCACAATTATATGAATTTATTCTTTTAAGGCTTGACGCTTGTCTAGGTTGGGTCAACAGCAGCTTGCACTGTCTGTGGACCAAGTGCTTGACCATTACCCATTGCCTCTTTCCACTCTGACACAAATTTTTCCTGGGAGCGCAAGGGGATTAACTACCTTGGGGTTTCTAAGGGCCGGAGCTGACTGAACATTCCTCATGGCACTGAGTTGTATGGGAATTCAGCAAACCTCTCTTCTCAGGCAGCAGATTCCTTGTCTCAAGAAATCTTCTGATTAAACTGTCAAGCTCTGGGACGTGCAGCTAAAGGGAACAACAAAGTTTGTAGGAACATTTAAAGAAATATTTTTGACAATTCCCAGTGAGGCCAGGATGATGACACACTCTGGTCCTAGCAAACTCGCCTGGCAGGCAGATAGGGCTTTATATGTAAATATAAACATATATTTACATATTTCCTAACATCTGTTTTGAATTGTTTTCCCCTTTGGTTCTATTTAAAGTATGTCTTGTCCTATTATCTCCAAGGCTGAAGTTTGGAGGGGGCTGTTAATAAGCTCTATCACTGCAGAGCCACAAGACAAACTTCTCCCTCCTCCCTGGCTTTTCAGCCAGTTCCTCTACAGCTGTTCCTTGCTTGTATTTCTAAGTGCAATAGTATCTCCCCAGCCTATGAAAGGAGCACAGTTTTCTAAGTGGATTCCTGCTGGGTAGGGTATAATCTCACCACCAACTTCCAGGGATTTATATTCGGTTGGTCTAACCCATTTGTCCTGGCAGCCCAGCTTTTTAATTGTTCCTCAGCATGGTGTCTCTTTCAGAGAGTGCCCTGCTTTTAGCTCGAGGTCCCGTCCACAGTTTCTGCATCCAGGAGGAAAAGTTACCTGGTGCAAGGCTGGAGATGCTGCTGCAGGGCAAGACCTTGCCTTCGGACGAGAACGAGATTTGGGCTCAAACAGGATTTGGACTACGTGAGAGATTGAGGGACATAATTTTTATTAAATAAACAGGATAAAGTGAAAGCAGAAAGGGCAAAAAGAAGACATTGAGTGCTGGTTGATTGATGCCAGCATTTCCAGAGGGTCTCTGGCAGCAAAGGCCTCAGCGCTGGGTGCGCAGTGTGACAAAGCTCAGTGTCAAAAAGCCCTGACTTCACCACGGCAGCAGAGCTGCTTTGATGAATGAAGAAATAAGGTGATGTCCTGACTGGCAACTGCACCTGTGGCCAACACACACAGCTGATTTTCTTATTTCTGTGGCAAGTCAACATCTAATCCCTTCATGGTCCTGGGCCTGGTGTGCTTCTTCTCAGTGCGAGCTCTAAGCCCAGCACAAGAGTTGGGACAAGGAGCCTTCTGGTCATGTATAAAATTGTCTTGTAAAATGCTTTTCTAAGGAACGATTAAACATCAGTGCAAACACATGCACTGTCTGTAATGTCCTTAAAAGTGCAGGGTCCTGTATGGCCAGATGACAGGCAAATCAAAGGTTTTCCTGCACTGATGAAATTCCAGGCAATATGGGGTGGGGGGGTAAGGGCTAGAGAGAGTGAGCCAGAAACAAAACGCTCAGATCATCTATCCAGAAAAAGTTGCTTCTCCAGCCAAATTACTCAGTCTTTTATGAGAAAGATGTCTCGGTTTGGCAGGGAGGAAAAGACAGCTCCACCAAACAGTAACATTAATAATAAAAAAAGCCCTAGTTGAATACTAAAAACCATTAATCCAAGGCAAACCAACTTGTTCTGTTCTGTGGTAAAACTTCCAGTTGAAACCCTGAAACCAGTAGCCCTGGGACAGGCACCCGAGAGCCTGGGCTGATGCTAGCAAACACCGCAGTTTCTATTGGCTCAGCAAAAGCATTCCTGCAGCTTTGTCTCCAGAAGCATCTCATTAAAATGAGATGTGAAACACTGAGATAAATGCTTAACTAAACTGATAAGCTTCTCATATACACCAAATTTACATCATATTGGACTGGTTATGACTTACCCTGTAGCTATGACTGAGGCTCCGGTGTTGCAAAGGTGATTATTACACATGCTTATGGAGTCTCTGTAAACATAATTTGTCTGCAATAACTGAAAATGCTACCTCTTCACCTCAATTTAGCACCTTTCTTTCATAGTCCCTGAAGCCTCTAAATGGAGCCCAGGCAGAGCTGTGAGAGGAGGCACAGCTACAAATGGAATGCAAAGGGCTATGGCTAGAAATCGTGCTGTATCACTTCGCTCCGAATCTTGCTTCTGTTGCCAGCACTATGGGGTGGCTGCGGGCACCACCTCGAAGGCTGTGACAGCACTGGAAGAGAGCTGCCTCCCGCCGTGTTGGCACAAGTCCTCTCCCTCTGCCCCAGTGACTTGGGGCTGGTGAGCTCTAAGGAGCAGCGTCAAGCTCTCCTGCAGGTTTGTGTGCTGGCCTCCAAGCGCTCTGCTGCTCCACGGCAGCCTCAGGCAGCAGCCCTCACCTGAGCCAGCCCCTGGACGTCAGCAATCCTGCACAGAAGTGAGAGGGATCCCTGACATTATCACCTTTCGGACATGCACAGGCTTTGCAGGATCCAAAATTGAGATTGATGACTTTTACAGGTAAAGGAAGTGTCACAATGGACAGGACTGTTTGTGGCTGTATAAAAATCTGACTCCTGCTTTTGTCACTCGACTGCGTAGCTCCCAAGGCTCCTGCCTTGCCCAATCCATAAAAAGTCAATGATTCCTGAGAAATACTGGAATCCCCACAGAGCAAGTATAAAAGAAGACCAGGTCTGGCTACGGACCCACTCTGTAACTTCAACTAAGGCATAGAATCATAGAATTGTCTAGGTTGGAAGGGACCTTTAAGATCATCTAGTCCAACCATCAACCTAACTCTGATTTAAAAAAAAAAAAAAAAAAAAAAGAAGGAAGAAAACCATACAAAAGAACCCCCCATGTTACTAAACCGTGTCTCTAAGCACTGTGTCAACCCATCTTTTGAAAACCTCCAGGGATGGTGCCTCAACCACTTCCCTGGGCAGCCCATTCCAAGGCTTAATAACCCTTTCAGTGTAAAATATCACTGCACATTTATCTCCTTTAATAAATAGGAAAATTAGACGCCCACCTTTCCCACCCCACCCCAAAGTGTGAGCTCTCAGAGCTGTACAAACACGTACCTAACTACTTCTCAGTGTTTGCCACATAAGCACATCATACCTAGCCATCCAGAACTTTCTTTCTAAAAGGCATTACTTTTGATACAAAACAAATGGTTTGCCTCCACCTTCACTTTTTTCCTAGTGTGTTAGGGGAAAAAAAAACGTTTCATAATTGCTGTTGCAGAAGAGACTTGCGTTACATTTTCCACCACCCAGCACCCACACAGTTAGACCTTATTCACCTCAGGTACAAGCACACTTGTGCTGACTTTGAATATATACCTCACAATCTCTGGCTCAATTAGCATACAGCAGCTAATCACTCCCTTTGTAATGTATTAATGGCTGTTTGCCTTTCTGCACGATTGGCTTTTTCCCTTTTATTCCCACTGGTTGTTAAGTGGTGATGATGAATGGATCTAGCACCTACAGCCATGGCTTCTTGCTTTAAAAAGCTCAAGAGAGAGAAGATGAATTAGAAAAATGAAAGTCTTTTTTTTTTTTTTTTGCATGGTATCCAAACCTTGGATCCTAATCCAAACTGCCTGTAATTTAAAAAGCAGAATATACACCACAGGTATCTTGGCTGGCTGCACCAAGGGTGAAGTTTAGTGGCATCTTGCTTGGAGCCAATGTTAGGACATTGCCAACCATTTCCTTTATTTTAAAAAGTCCCCTGCACACACTGCATACCTATCACCCAGTTTCCCCTGTGATACCCACCTGCTTTCCAAGAAAAACAATCTAAAGTCTTCTGGTTATCAAAGGGACTTAAAAAAAATACAAATGAACTCTCTTCTTCCCTCTCACCAGCTGATTACGCTGATGGCTCAGAGCCATCTGACTGAAACCATCCCACATTTGACAGCAGCGGATGGACACCAGTCATTTTTTGCCCAAACAACCCCTAAATTATACAAACGGGAGCATTTAAATTGTTAATAAACTGTCCTTCTCCCCTTCAGAGAGGGGGAAAGGCCCACGACCATCTGTCTCTGGGCTACAAATGAGTTTGTGCCACGTCCGGTCAGCCAGCCCGCTCTCACCTGTGGCACACCTGACACCCACCAGCCTCATCCATCTCCAGCAGAGAAACCCCAGTCAGCTGTTCTTCTCCACCAGACGTTTCCCCAGCGGGATGCTCTGGCTGCTTTGCAGCGCCAAAGGCTTCGTAGCACGGGAGTCTCTGTGGCCACCCACATCATTTTCAAACGCGCAAACGAGCCAAGAAGCTTCGCATAAACAACTTGGTACAATGTGCTGAGATGCTGCTGTATTTCTGCATGACAAGTTCATTACCATTTGGCCTCGGCTCACGCTGATGTACAGTGAAAAAGGAAAGGGAGAGAGAGAGAGAGAGACTTTTCACAGTTACATTAATTTCATTTTATTTAATAAAAAACAGTATCAGATTAAAAATACAAACACTTTGGGTGATTATCCAGCGTTTTCCCCTGTGTGCCTCGTAGAGCTCAAACCAACCAAGGATTGGGAGAAAAAAACAAAAAAACCAAAAAATAACACCAAACAATTTTGGCCGGAGCTGTAAAATAATGTTGCACCAATTAAATTACACCAAATATATTATTATACCTTTGAAATGGCTTTCAGACCAATAAATAAAAAAAAAGACAAATTCAAATAAAAAAGTCAACTTTGTATTACAAAAAAATTAAATAAAAATCACAACACTAATAATAACAATGTGCAGTCAAGTTTTTTTTTTTTCTTCTCTTCTAGGAATGATAACATGCCAGTAAACATGTAACATGCCAGTAACATGCCAGTAAATCCCTACGTAACATTTCCAGTTTGGCAGCAAGCAGTCACTCACTCATTCACATTTGTACACGAGGAAGCAGGCCTGGGCAAAGGCCTCGGGAGATATGAGACTTTTGGGGTGCTCCTCACTTCCCTGCCATGGCCGGCTGAGTTCCCTTCCCTTCATCCTGAAACTTCCCTAAATCCATCCAAGGTTTAGCACCAGATCTGCAGGGAAGGTGCCGATCAGCGTAGCCCCACCAAAGGGATGCTCCATCACGTCAAGGGGACAGCGCTGATTTACACCAGCTGAGGATCTGGCTCCGGGGCACAAGTTAAAAGCCTCGGCTACAAAGCACATCCTCGTTTCAGAAAGGCCACGGAGACTACCTCGAGTTGTTTTTAAAATGCACCACAGCAAACTTGTTAACTCAATACACTGCAAAATGGCGTGTTGATTTGGGATGGGCAAAAAAGAGCACATGCAGGGCCTGTGAGAAGATGGGAGGTCTGTACAGAGAGGTACACATCTGTAGAGAAACCACCTGCAGTTGCCCTTCCTGAGCAAATGGACAGTGAGCCAAATTTCACCTGACTGCCTGAGAGCACATCTCTCATAGATGCCACATACTCCAGGGCCAAATTTGGTCCAGTGTTTCACAATAAGTAAAGGTTCTCCTAAGAGGCAGATTAACTGATTTAGGAAGTTCAAGCTCATTCATCTTTATGCTAGGTAGCCCAGTTGATTTTTAGGAGGAACCGGCAGATTTGAGTACCATGATACACTGAACAAGGAATCTGCAAGTGAAATAGCTCCCTGCCCCAGATGCCAACGATTTATGGGGTTATCCCTGATTCCCAGGGGATCTCCAGAGGAACTCTGTTCCATTTCCATGTGATCTCTAGGATTTGGGACACAGTGGGCCAAATTCTACTTTCAGTTCCAGTTATGGAGTAGGAGCGAGAACAGAGTTTGCCCCATGTCCCTCTGCTCTGGATACACGTGTAGACGTTAAGTATTGCAGCTGTGGGTCACTTGACATCATAGGCTGAAACCTGCCACTTATTCACACCAGGTGCACCTCCAAGAAAGCCAGGGGCTATGTGGTCACAGAAATGAGACTGAAATGGGCCTCAAGATTCCAGTTTGCCCAGGCCTGTCAAACACACAGTGCCTTTCTGACATAGGCTTACATTCAGGTAATCCAGTAGACCCATGTGGTACCTTTATGGGAGTTGAAGCCTTCAGTCTTAATAATTAGATATGTCTGAGAACAAAACCACATATCCTTCTCTTTTTTTTCTTTTTTCAAACTGGTACCATTGCTCACGCAGTACCAGCTACACTATAAAGAAAAAGGCCTGCAATTTTATGCAAACTCTGATATCAAATCTACCATTATCATTTCATCGCTTATTTCTTCCTGCTCCATTACTACCTACCTAGAAACGTTTTCATTTGGAGAAAGGCATCTTCCCACTAACATTCTGACCTCTATCCTTTTCCTACATGCTACAGCCTTTTCCTTATCTAACATTCTGGTCACAAACTATCTGTCACCCTCAAATACTACAAGCTAACAGCAAGGTGGCACCATTTGCTGACATCGACTGAACTCTTGATTGGAGGATCAGTTAACCCTTGAGACCCTTTGTTAGATCCATCTTTGGGCATTCATCTGGTTGGCCATCTTGAAAGAGTCACAAATTGAACACATGGGTCGAAATGCCTTGAGAGGTCATTTAGCTGCTGATAACATCCATTCTTCCAATTCCCTTTATCATTTCTGTGACTGTTTTTGCTGGTATGAGCACTAGTTGGAAACAATTTTAGGGCCTCCTGCTCACTGAAGAGCAATGGCTGTGGGAGAGGCCAGATCTGAATGCCTGCTCCACTACTTGTCCACATACACCATATGAAGTTATTCTGGGGCAAGTCTCTCAAATTATCTGTCCCAGAATGCGTTCAGAACCTCTCTGATGACTCCAGTGGAAGCGACCATGGTGACCACCTAGCCTGGCCTCCTGCATAATGCAAGCTAAAGATTCCCAATGTGCAATGCCTGTATCCAGATGAATAACTCTGGGGGAAAATAAAGGTTCTCTTTCTAAAAGACATCCAAGATTGACTTGAAGAATTCACTTCAACTCTGAATTACAAACCTCTCTAAACATGTGTCCCCCACTTCCAGTTTTAATTCTGTCTAGCTTTGACTCTGAGTCATTAAATCTTGATGCTTTTGTCTGCTAGATCCTGATGTGTTTTCACCACATATACAAAGACCAAAGGTTTTTCTCTGGTAAGGTAGGTAATATTTTGAGGACACAAAATTACGAGAAGCGTGAGATGGCTTTGGGGCTACTTCACTAGATGTTCAGCTAAGTAGGTGTAGTCAGGTCCTTTGAAACAAAACCTACCACTGTCAGCAAATCAGTGACCTGGCTTACTCCACCATAAAGGTACACAGAAAAACTCCCTTCCCTCCCTTTCCATTTTCCCTCTGCTAGTTGAGCTTGTTGCAGATCTCTAGGGCTTTCTTGTAGACCTGAGTCACATCATCCATGTCTGTGAGAAGGGAAAAACTGCTGTCCCCCAGACGGTTGCGATAACGTTTTAGATACTGTGGCCGCGGGCGGTTCTGAAGTCCTTCAAAGTCTTGGATCTGGAGGAAATTTTCAGCAGAGACACAGCTCCGTATCCTCTGTCTGTTTGGCCTATTCTCTTGCAAATCCAGCAAATCAAAGGAGTCACTGGACAAAATACTGTCATCACTAATCACGCTGGATGGACGACTATAACTTCGAGGTAATGCATCTCCAGGCAGGACAACTTCTTCCATGGCCTCCAGCGTTGGTGTGTCAGGGCTAATCAAAGCAGATTCGGTGCTGCCGGTAGAATACTTGCTGTTATGTTTCAAGATGCCCTTACGCCTGCAGGAATGGCCGTAAGACCCATTTCTGGATGGCTCTGTGACCCCTGGAGAAGTGTCACTGTTTACTGTCTCATCATTATTGTCCAAGAGTTCAGAAGATTCGCTTCGCTCTGGAGAGGAGTAATAGCCAGATTCCCTCTGCTGAGTCTTCTTTAGGATTCCTTTTTTTGGCATTAGTGAAGACTGCTTAGTGCCGTATTTGCCTGCTACCTCTCCCTCCACAACACTTTTAATGGCTACACCAGTCCTACACAACTCTTGCTCCAGCTTAAAAGCAGAGGGTAACACTGGGCTGACCACTCCTTCAATGAAACCTGCACTGTGAGATCGATGTTCACTGTTGCTCCTTTTCTTCAGGATGCCTTTGGGTCTCTTAGAGGTGGGTTTGGATGCATTTTCAGCTCCTCCTTCCTGGATGGACTGTGCAATGTCATTTTCCTTTTTTGATTTTTTCAGAGACCTTTGTCTCTCTAGTGTGACCTCAGGACCTTTGGGCTTAGAAAGGCACTTCATTTTGGTATCAGTCTCTGGTTGGAGGCCAGTAGATCGGTGATGCCAATCAATGAACCTTGCCAGCAGTGGGGGCTCGGAGTCCCTCTTGGCATCACAGTCACAAACACTACTATTGTAGCCCCAGTCAACCCACCAGTGGTTGGCAATGTCTTCAATGGTTGCTCGGCGTTCAGGGTTTACCATCAGCATCCATCGGATAAGACCACGAGCATCTATGGACAAAGAATGGAATAAAAAATATTTAGAATATGGGCACTCTTGGTTTTCTCGGTTTAAAATGGAAATGTGAAGCTGATCAAATGAGCAAAAATAATTATTCTTACTACATAATAACTGAAAGGAGTCAATGCTTTGGCCATCAGTCAATGTCTGAAAATGCATTTGAGAACTACTTCTTATGAGAAGAAAATGATTCACCCTGGGAAATATACACTGCATTACCAAAGAAATTAATATTTGTACTGTATTAGTCAGTGAATAGTTCCATATTACTGAAGGCAGTCACCAACCTATCAACTCTAATAATTACAAAACTTAGAGGAAAACAATGGGGAATTGGGGTATTTTAAGTGATCTACATATTATTAATTTTGTATTTACTTTTTCCATAAACAGTGTAGTCTTCTGTGTATTTTAAAGTTTCCTAAAGTGTTTTCCTAAAGAGAGCAAGAAGGCAGAAAATCGAAAGGGATGGCAAACAAATTATGCAAGATAAATATTAATTTAAATATAAAATATACATATATGTTTAAGCCTGGAAGGAGTCATTATAATCAATGACCCAGACTCAGTTGATGCTCTTCTGTCAGGTGACTGCTTAATATGTTCTCCTCTAAGCAGACGTAAATGTGAGCATACTGGCATTAATTCAGATTTTGGCCTGCCTTCTTGGGCAAGAGACTGCGTCGCTCTGACCATTCATCTTCTCTCTGCTTGTGCCATACCACAGCGTAGTGGGAGGACTGATCTGTACCAGTATGCTGTATCGGTTTACAGCTTGTCTGAACAATTCCACTCGCAATAGCTAACAGACCTTCCACTGTCATAGATCTAGTTAAAAGAGCCTGTTACAGCTTCCCCAAGGCAATAAAATATATGTGCTATAAAACTTTCATTTCAAAAGGGCTTTTGGTAAATGCTGTACCCAGATGGGAATTGATAGCAGATGAAGTCAGGAGGGGAATGAGAGATGTTTTTTCTTCGTCATTCTAGTATGACACCAAAACATGCTGGAAGGGGCTGTGCAAACCCTCCATTCTGAGCCCCTGTCAGCTCAGTGCTCAGCCCTCGCTCCTTTTTTATACCTGAGGTCTGCGTTGGCTCACGATACTCTCCACTGCTGATCTGCCTGATGAGATTTTTGTGATCGAAGCCATCAAAGGGCATCGTTCCATAAACCAGAGTGTAAAGCAATACACCAAGGGCCCAGCTGTCAACCTGAAATACAGAGACAATGCGTGTGAAGCCCAGGAAAGCCGATCCCCACTGTTCTCCCTGCCATTCGCACCACAAGAGCAGTGTCACCTCCAGCTGCGCCTACTGATGGGCAAACCAGCATCCAACATCTGACTAACCACAGGCAAGGCAAACAAAAGCAAATGAAGGCAGCTTGAGAACTTTCAGTGTGGGAGAGAGACCCAAGCGAGACCACATGCGGCAACACTAGCAAGAAGACTAACCCTCAAGAACATTATCATCAAAGACATCCCCATAACACCTCTAAAAACTGACCCTTCTTACCTCTGGGCCTCTGTAAGGTCGTCCATTAACTATTTCAGGGGAAGCATAGAGTGGGCTTCCGCAAAAGGTCTGCAGAAACTTGTCTTTGTGATAAAGGTTGGAGAGTCCAAAATCAGCAATCTGCAAATAGAATTGCATGAGGCATCTGTATTAACAATATCTCAATGCAACTGAAAGTTCTCTATCAGGAAGGACTTTACTATATTTGACCCTGCTGTAGGGCAGGGATCTCGACATAGATAATCTCTCAAATTCCCTTGCCAACCCATTATTCTATGATTTTATCACTTTAAAGACCATTCAGAGAAGGGAAGGGTCCCCAGGTAAAATCCTCCAGATTAGGAACAATGATGCTTTGGTTCTATTCACAGACAGGTCACTGACTGACGGCACAACCATCAGTCAGTAATTTTATCCTGGATTAATTGCTTACGCTTGCAAAGACGACCCCATACCAGGAGGCACCAGGCCTTCTGTCCACTGATTGCTCTTTGTCTTGTGTAATCATTAATACCACAGGAAAGCAAGAAGCAAATACTACTGTTCTTATTGCGCACATGCAAGCTGAAAGCCAAGATCTTTAAATCCACCAGGAGGAGTGAGGCAGGAGTGTCACAGGAAACTAAGTATTACAGAAGAAAGTGATGTTTGAGATCATCTGGAACTTAGCTACGCTTGAAAGAGGGGGAAAGTGAGGCACTCGCAAACTCTTCCAGATTCAGGGACTCCAGCTGAGGAATCTGAGCACACGAGATGTCTATCATGAGATAATAAACACAAGTACGGTTCCTAAATGGAAACAATGGGCCCAAATCCGGCTTTCCCAACACAAACAAAACTTCCCTTGAGACTGTTGGGAATTTTGCCCATGTAGGAATTGCAGGATCAGGTCCAAATATTTTGTTTACTTCAATTCTCTGTTCTTGTTCTTACAAAACAAAGGCTGAGGACAGCAACACTAAATACTCCCACAACCTTTGCATTTCCTTTGCTTCTCTAGCATGAGGCAACACATCTCATTTTTTATCTTTTTTTAAAACCGAAGCATTTCTGTTTCCCAGAGATACTTCTATTACTGCCCACTATCGACATAAAAGACATTAAGCACAGGCATAAAAAAGGTATTATCAATTTATAGCTATAAGCGACAGGTGCTTTCTCTGGGTTTTCTTTACCTTACTCAGGACTTTTCTACCGGAAAGAAATTAAATCCCCAGAATTTTCACAAGGGAAAATTCAAGAAAACACAAAATGAATGGAAAAGGAGAGGATTTACCAGCAGCATCATTCACTCCTGACTTGCTAAAATGTGTATCATCAGTGCTGTTAATACTTGTTTAATTTCAATGTCTAGTGAACTCTTGGGAGACATAAAGACTTTGTCTCCACTATCCACTATCCAGACTTCTAGAGCTGCACCTAAATATGTCACAGTTGAAACCAAAATGAACAAAGTCATTGAAGTATGGACAGAAGTTTCTGATTTTCTTTCTTTACCCCAAACCAGAAATATATATTCAGGCACACTTTATCTATAAATATAGATATTTTTATGTTAAAAATAAAATTAATTTTAAAAATATAATTTTCACAAAATTTTTAAAGTCACAGAGCAAATATGAGATTTCATGCTTCACACTCTTGTATTTTGATGTTCTGCTTGTGCAGATGTTCCACTGACAATTTGAACTCATAATATCCTGCTCAAAGAGCCGCTGATTCCTGTTCATTAATGTTAATTTATCTCACCCTGTCCATTCATAGTTTGAATTCGCTCAGTCCCCCAAACAGCATATTATGAGCCCACAGCAGAAAATTCAACCCTTAAATAAATGTGGTTTGTAAAATCTTCATTGTATGGCTGGAATGTCATTGAAAACAGCTGGTGTACAATTGCAGTCTGCAAACATATTCTCATGGCTCGGATTGCACTTAATTGCCCTAAATTCCACTTTCTTATCAAGTCACCCTGCCTGGCTTGCAGGAAGTTGGTTTTAAGCCTTATGAAGTGTGCCCTGTCAATCAGGGGAAGAATGGGATCATTTCAGTGTTAAAACTTCGTGCTGGTCATCGAGTTTTATTTTAGTTCAGGATGCAGCTAAGGCAAGGACAAACACTGCACAGTGTGACTCCTTAAGAAAAATACATTCCCTTAACACCATGGAATGTATAAAATGCATGTGGATGTGCATGAATATATATATAGGGATACACATACCATTGTTCACACTAAGAACTCTCAGACTTGGGCATTCATGTTTTCATTTTGACCATTCAGGAAAAGAGTATTTATGTTACAGTCCACTCCCATACTCACAGACTGATGTTTATCAGCTTTTCCCATTAAAACTGTCATGCCCCCCAAAACAAGATTAATAGAAGCCAACATTACTTCATGTTCTTGGCACTTAAATGGAACTAAGGCATCAAGTCAAAAAAACTTCCTAAATTGGGAGGAGCGGGGAAGTGGACTTTTATTCCCTTCGCTTCAGGAGGTGTATGTTTCATATTTACTGTTAGCTATGGTAAACCAGATGTAATTTATTGTTTAAGTGTGGACTATAAATTCCATGAAGTTCACACTCATGGCAATTGTCAGTTTTATCCCACTTAAGACTCTCTCTCTTTGTACTGTAGATAGAGGAATAATTAGGTCTCTTAAAGCAAATGAAATGTATGTGCAGTGGGTGAGACTTCCAGCACGGTAAATCCCAATGACATATACTTACTCTGTATATATGAAACCCTCATGGGTTTTTAGTGGTTAGTCTGATTGGTGTCCCCTTACCAGCTCAAGAGAAAGTGCAGTTAGTCGGATTATGTTACTATTATACTTGCATTTTTCTCCCCTTCTATCACTTTGGGGTTGATCATACAGTTTACGTCAACCTCTGCTAGACATCTCTTTTAGGTGCAATTCCCAGCCCAGGAGCTGCCACAGCCCTGCTGTGAGCAAGAAGGCCCCCTCCATCGTGCCAGGCTGCATGATAGATGTGTCCCTGGGGGTAGGGACACAGTATTTGGACAGACCAGCAAGAGGCACTAATTCCCTGGCTGCTGCACAGGGGCAGCAGTTTCTCTCCACCTCCCTGCATGTAGTTTTGGGGCTTTTGGCACTAGAGGAGAGCTGCAGCGCTGCACCGGGGACATGTGGTCCTCATCAACCCAAACCACAGGAGCTTTGGGCAAACGGAGGCAGCTACATCCGCACCCCACTGTTATTTCTTCTAGGAAATTCACACCTACAACGAACCAAAAGCCAGCATCCTCAGTCCTTTTAAGACTAATGAAGAGAAGATGACAGCACCAGAAGGCTTTTTTTGAAGACGACCAAAGACAGACCATAGAATCATAAAATACCTGGTTGGGACCTCAAGGATCTAACCCTTCCTGGTAAGAAAGATGCCTAATGGTGGTGTGCATCTCTTCCCACAAAGAGCTTTCTAACTCACCAACTCAGGGCAGCTCTTTCGGTGCTTTGGGGCTGCCTTAGCCCTGCTGCCTCTCTGACCCTGCCCACCTCCAGTTGTGGTAGGGTTATGAATGATGATTCCCTCTTGATGGGATGACAATGCCAGTGGGAGGCTGCTCTGCCACTGTGTGGTGGGGGAGCAGCTGTACCCTGGAACCCAGAGCAAGCAGAGGGTGGCAGCTCCCAGTTACCCAGAGCTGGAGGGTGGAAGGCAGCAAGTGTGGGCAGCTGGAAGGAGAATGGAGTAAATCTTAAGGTGAACTGTGCTGTTAGCACCTGGCACACGAATGTGAGGAAGGAGAGGCTTGTAGATGCTGCAGAAACCCTAATTTCATCACCACGTTATTTCTTTAAAGAACGCGGCACCACAAACAAGGTAAGAAACCCTGAGAGGCTGCAGTGTCTTGGTGAGGTTTATCTCTAGGATTGTGCCTCACTGTTGACCTCCGCAGACAAGCTGGGTCCCAGGAAAAACATTCTCTCTGGGGTTTCTGCTGATAGTTGGGTGTATATGTGGGGAGCAAGGCAAGGTACTGCTGGATGAACTCCTTGTACCCCATAGATCTGCGTGCATGTTCAGTCTCACAAGTGTTGTAAAGCTTGTTTTATTCATTTGTGTTTGCTGCCTTTAGGGGTTTTAAGTAATAGTTTATAGGATATATATTACTGCATACAGTGAGTCCCTGAAAAACATAATTATATAGCACAGGTCAGATTACTTTCTTCCCTTCATCACCCTCCACCTCTGGCCTGTGGACCTGCAGAACTCCTCAACATGTACAACTTTTTGTCAGCTTTCGAGCACTGGTGTTTCCTAGTTTCTGTACTCCAACATATAACTCCAGTTCCAGAGGCTTTTACTCACTATGCCAATTTTTTTAAAAAAAGTTGATTATGTCTCCATACAACCCTTCATGACCTCCATTTAATTAGCTAAAATTTAAGAATGGTTTCCAAGTTAGTGCAGTATCATGTAAAATGGCTTGGGGCCCTTTTAGGACGCATAATAATTTCTAATGGATTACTTGTCCTCTTAATTTCCTGTTCTAAAAGTATTGCTGAAGTTGCTGTACATGGATCTATTTTTACAACATCTTATTGTTTCTTCACATTTCTGTGGCACGTTTGTATATATCATAATGTATAGATCACTGTCTTCTTCAGAAACATGTATTTAATTGTACATTGCACTCAAGAACAAAGAGATTCCTTTCATTTTCTCATTCTTAAAATCAAACTGCCAATTTTGTAAGTGCTTTGTAATCCACTGAATGAAATATAAATACTGGAAAGTACAGATAAGACTATCACTCCATTTCTAGAAAATGCCTTCCACTATTTGAAGCCAGCCATCCATCAATACCAAACCCCAAACTGCGTATTTCTCTCCTTCTGCCTGAATAAACCACATATAAATACTCTCAGAATGAGGACCTGATAAATTTACTCCTAATAAATAATTTACAGCTCCATATGTGTTTCCTTGCCAACGGTTACTATTTAGTGAAACAAAGAAAAAATGGGAAGTAAAATTCTGTGCAAGTAGCATAGAAACCACAGGAACATATTCAAAGCCTCAGTATCAGAGAAATAGTGGCATTGTGCTTAACGTCAAGTATTCAAAGCTCAGCTCACTCATGAGGTGTGAAAAAAAAAGAGAGCAGGGAGAAAAAGGAAAACAATACAAAAAGTTATCTCTTGAAGTAACCTAAATTCAAACACTATTGATAGTAAGAAGTATGAAATACCAACTGCCTCCCAAGCTTGGTCCTGGAAATAAACACGCTGTTGCTAATAAATAAAGACCCTTTGTGGAAACAGTTCCACAGTCCCTGTGGAAAAGGGAGCTTGGAGCTTGGAGCCACCTACCCACGCCGAGGTAGCCTTGCCCGCTCAGAGGTGTGCCTTATGTTTTGCACAGAAGTCACTGAGGAAAGGCTGGAAATATGCAAAATACCTACACTGCAGCTTAAACACAGCTCAGGAAAAGGAAGCCTTCAAGAAAAAATGTCCAAATGACAGGAAGGGATGTGGGGAGTTGCAGCTACCTGAATTTCCTCCACAGCAGTGCCCCTCGCTATGGCAGCTGAAATGCATCTGTGGTCCTGAAGGCCCTGGGTCACCTCCATGGTCCCCGTCCCTGCCCCATCCTCTTGCTCTTCCTGCGGGACGATCAGACTCCCATAAAGGAGACAGGGGAGGGAGTGGAGCTTTCTGACAAAGCACAGCTCCCAGGGGGCTTGGGGAAGTGATTGGTTTTGCATATGAGGACCATGGTGCGGAGATCCAGGCCACCGCAGCTAGCAAATTCCCCAAATTCCTCTTTTCTCTCAAGAATTCTCTGATTAGCTGGGAAGATAGTTTGGCGTGTAATGCGGAAAGAAAGGTCATCCTGCCTGCGGAAGCCTGTTTCATATACAATGTCCTAGAAAGGCTACTTCTTGTTTTCAGCGCTGCTGAGAAGAGCTCGGGCTCCTGCGGCCGGCGTCCCTGTCGGAACAGGAGCGGGGAGGTTCGCTCTAACACTGGATGTTAACAGCAAAACATCCAAGTATTGCATTCGATGGGCCTTCTGCAAAAGCCTATTTTTAGAAACCACATATTTATGTGCCTTTAATCCACCAGTTGATCCAAGTTAGCTTCTGTCATCAGCATTACACAGATGGCAGCTACCATATGTTACTTTCCATTTCCATTGCACATCAGCTTAAAATGAAGACAATCTTTCCAGCGTGAAGCGCAGAAGGCTGTGCGTGCAGCCCCATGGCTTTCAGTGGAGACAAAACGAAGATCCAGGCTGTTTAGATATTTAGCTACGCAGGGAGCTCCTCGATTACTTTGTTAATTAAGCAAAGATGCCCAAGCGTCAGCAGAAACTCTTCAGCGTCCCTCCCTCCGTTTGTCTGCCCGTAGATGAGCGCACCCAGCCACCCTCTCATCCAGCTACCCAGGGAGGAACAAAGCTGCAAGTGAAACAGGTTCAGCCACCTACAAACTACGCTCATCTCTGCATTATTTATCTTCGTGCTACAGCTATTAGGAAAAAAAAGAAGAAGGGAAAAAAGGTCATTCCCATGCTTTCACTGGGGAGAAATGACACGGAAATGACATCACTGACATCACTATCCAAAGTATACGTTTGTGTCTGGAGTTCCAAGGCCATTTCCTAATGAAGCACATGTGCTTTACTAGGTTTATTTTGAAACTCTATTTGCTTATTTTCCAGCCATGATCAAAAGGACATTCAGAGTGTTCTGTAGGAGGCACTTGAACCCTGTAGACCAGGAGAGTTTTTTCCTAGCCCCAGCAGCAGCCAGCAATAATATCATTCCTACAATAAACCCGACTGCATGAAATGCTCTGCAGTTTCCTACCTGTCCCAAAGATACTGCTTTGGGAGTCAGGGCCCTTGGGTGGCAGGACAGGGCCTTCTCCCCGAAATTATGCAAAGCTTCATTTAGCGTGTATGACTCATCACCAGTGGTGCTCTTTCCCCAACCTCCAAAATCCCTGAGCCTCTTGCCAGATGCTGTTGCTCAGTAGCTGTTGCCATAACACTGGCCCTTCTAATACCTTGGATAAAAATTTTACAAAACATGCAAATCCAATCTGAGAAGCTGAGAAAAAGAATCCTACCTTAATATTAAAATTGTCATCAAGAAGGATGTTTTCCAATTTTAGGTCCCTGTGGACAACACCTTTCTGCAACAAGGAAGAAAAAAACAGGGGGAGAACATGAGAAAAAAATTGTGAAAATTAAAGGTGAGCTGGCAGGGTGGTCTTTGCATCCACATTTCAGGGCTGATTTCACTGTCATAACACTCACGGCCCAGTGACTAGTGACAGGCGATGTATTAGTCACTTGGTGTGTGGTTAAGGGAAGAATGACTGGAATCTGTCCTCCCACAAAGCCTCTAAAACAGCAGGGGGGCGTGGGGTGTCTTTTCGGAACTTAATTCCAGCCTGGATCCTGCCCCCACTGCGTGAAAGCAATATATTCTTCCCAGGCACCAGAAAACAAGATCTGTCAATGACGTTAGTCCTTACAAAAGCCCTCGTTCCTCCAATGTGCAGCCACGTGGATCAGGGGAGTTATAATCCTAAAGGACTGTAAATGTTAGGGATGGGAGCAAACAAGCTGGGTTTAGGTCAACGCCTTCTTTAAAGAAATTTGGGAAAAAATAACTGCACAGGGAAGGGCGCTGCAGCTTTTCAGCGCAGCGCAGCGAGGGCTTTGAAAACCGCCTTTGTTTATCAGAATTCAAGTGGAGATTAAAGTGTTTAAGAACTGAAATTAAGAAATTGTGTTAGCTGGTCATTGCCTTTAGCTTCATGCAAGTTTTGGCTCTATCCAGTTGGTTCATAAGTAGAGATAAAAGGCCCACGATGAGAGCCAGTCAGCTACCTTGGGTTTAGTTGCTTAAATCATCATTCTAGAGGGTACCACGATGGAAGAAGTCATTAGCAAAAGGTACCTTTCTAGTGCCCAGGGAGGTGGTGGAGTCACCATCCCTGGAGGTATTTAAGAAACGTATAGACATGGCTCTTCAGGGCATGCTCTAGTGCCCAAGGTTATTGGTTTATGGCGAGGTGTTCAGTGTGGGGTTTAGTTGGTGGGTATGGTGTTTTTGGTGGGCGTTTGGTGTGGTGGGGTTTTTTGGGTTTGTTTTGTTTTGGTTTGGTTTTTTTGTTTGTTTGTTTTTTGGTTTTTTGGGGGTTGTTTTTGGTGTTGGTTTTTTTTTGTGGTTGGACTCGATGATCTCAGAGGTCCCTTCCAACCACTAAGATTCTGTGATTCTGTGATTCTGTGATTCTGTGATTCTGCTACATCTGGAAAAGTTGGTTTTGCCTATCCAGAATGTGCTTTCATATATTTTATCTTCCACTTATATATTCAAATTGCAAACTATAAATCATTTGAATGTATTAATATTAATAGTGTAGAAGTTCTATGAGATCCCTTTTCTAGTTTATGTTGTTATTTATTTTTTTTTTCATGTCAGGAGAATTATTTCCAAGGCAAAAATGCAACGTAGGGCTAATGTAAGGGAGTGGCTGCTATCTGCCATAACACAGGAAAACATCCTTAGTCTTTAAAAACAGGCAGTGAACTACTGTAGCACTTCTAATGAAAGTTGTGCTGATATAATCACATGCTGTCATACTTAATAATGAATGCTGTTGCCTCAGACATGCTTTGAAATAATGTAAGTCACTACTCAGCCTTCAAGTAGCATTTTTTAATATCAAATCCTTTGCTCACCTTGTGGCAGTAATGTACAGCAGAGACTATTTGTCGAAAGAAGTGTCTTGTCTCTCTTTCGTTCAATCGCCGCCTCTCACTGATGTAATCATACAACTCTCCTTTACTTGCATACTCCATGATGATTACAATCTTATCTTTATTTTCAAACACTGTACAGGATAAACAAAACAAACAAAAAACACACCACAGTTCATTCAGTACATTTGAAAACTGACACTTTAAAGGGTAAAGAAGACTTAGGATGACTGAACACATGCTATGTCGTCACTGCAGCCTGGACAGATGTACTACCAACTCCACTGCAAATAGCAAGCTCTAAAGCTAATTTTTTCCAGAGGAAGATTACAACATTTCAGACAAAGAAAAAGAAGTTGAGGCTTCACTTTCATATGGCTTCATGAAAAAAGGTCTTTTCCTCTATAGTATGGGGTCACAGGATGGCAAAGTCAACTTGATCCTAATGCGGTGAGGTGGACACTTGTGCCAGAGACATCTGAATACTAACCCCAGCTCCAGTGGGGACTGTCTCTTACCAGTCTTACCAGTAGTCCTCTTGAGGCCAGAGGACTGAACGAAACATGAGCTACCACATAATTCGGAAAACATTAATAGAAGGCATAATAAACCCTGTCCTCAATGACTGGCTGATAAAGAATTGCTGTTTGGCTTATGATGACTGTTGGTCGGCTTTCACCTACCATCAAATTCCAACAAGTCAACTGATGCATGCGTCCTCTTCCAGCTCAACTCTGTGCGACAGCATGGCAGGCACGGACACCTGAGCTAGCAGTGCTGCAATGTCCCCAGAGCTGTACAGCTCTTGTCAGTATGGCTCTGCACCCCATCTCATGTACCCAACCCATCCTCGAGCTTACTTATCTCCTGCCTCCTCCGCGTGTCCCATTGCATGCTGTAGATACGTCCTTTGCCGCTTGCGCAGAGCTGGCAGCAACGCACAACTCTCACGTAAGCAGCCCGAGGAACATTCATCTAATACACGTCACAACCTGCCTGTTCTTCGAGGCTGAGGGTACTCTGTGCCACATGCTGTCAAGGACTTCACTGGGAGCTACAGATAACTGGACACTTAATCTAGTAAAACAGGCTGTGAGTAGTCTCAAATTGCCATAATGCCCTGGCCACTAAATAGTTTTTCCTTTCTGACACTGAAAATCCTCTGCAACCCACTGGAAACTTCCTGAACCTGCCATAAATAACCACTGCTTATACTAAAACATGGTGATTCTCCTTCTCCTTTTATCTGTGGCAGCAGCCTGCTGAGGCCAGGTCACACTGGCAGCGAAGTATCTGCAAGTTAATAAGGTTACAGGGGCTATTACAAACGGATGCTAGTTTTGACCAGCCCAACTGGAATGATGCCTTCCTGTATCTCTTCAGCAAAGCTCAGCTAGTAGTCCTTAGCGGGTTATATTTTTTAAACAAAAAACCACCAACCTTCAGCTTTTGCAGGGAAATGTGAAGCAGCCTCTCTCAACAGGGAGATATTTGCTGCTCTTAGGCTTTGTCTCATGTCCTCTCACACCTTGTCACTCAACTCTACAAGCCAAAGCCTCTGCAGTTCCCTCTAACACCCCTGAACCCCAGCCAAGCAGCTCTGATAAAACAGAGAGCAAACAGCCAGATAAAATTGGCCACTTACTTGTCTGCTGGCCTCACTGTACCCCGAAGCAGAGGCTCCTGCCAGTGATTACATCCTATGTGCATCCTCATTAGCAATAAACTTCGGAAACTGGAAGAGCCGTCTCTGGATGGATTATACTTGCAGTATCCTCTCCAAGAATGACAGACTGATATTGTCTGGGAAAAACTGAATATGCCCTTTGTCATATAGGGAAGTGCTGTGATGTGTTACCAGTAAAGCAGTAATGCACATACTCCTTTTTCTAAGCTTGGAAAAGCTTCTTAGATAGGGTTGTTTAGGGAGGCGAAAAGAAACAGTTTTGGTATGCTGAGACAAATCAACAAAAATGCTCTTATTTAAGAGACTTGCTTAAAGAAAACCACAAACACAACACAAACCAAAACAATCCCGATCGCCCCACCCAAAAAACTCAGCTGAGTCAATGAGTTAGGGGCTATTATATCATACAGACATAGGTGAAGTCACCACTGATCTCAGTAGGCTCTCACTGGAGTGCATGCTCCACGCAGTACCAGCCAAGGACCACCATGAGCTCAGGGGGACGTTTGCCTCACCAGAGGGGCACAGATGGGGACAAAAGGGCCCTCAGCTCTCCCTGCCCCACTCCCCTGGCCGCTGATGCCCTACCAGGTGCTCAGTGCTCATGATGACAATAACAGCAGTAACAGCCCTGCTATGACGGACCATTCTTCATGACGGTGTTTTTATTAAAGTCTTGCCTTCAGCACTCAGTCATGAGAGATTTCTCAAATCATCCTTGATGTTCTGAAGTTATAAATTCCAAAATAAAATTTTTCTGCACTAAAATTTGCCACTTTAATACAAGTTCTGATCCAGACATATTTTCTCGCATTTCTACAGAAATGAAGCGGAAAGCACTTGGTTTGGAGGAATGTGCATTTAAAGGTACTCTCCATTTCAAATTTTCCCTTATGCCCTCTAAGAAACTGAGACAATACCTTAAAACTGAACTTAGGAAAGCATAAATCACTGATCCACAGTTTGAATTTTTGTCACAAAAGTGCACTAGAGTCAATGAGAACAGAAGCACCCCAGTAACTTGTATTCAGGTTTCAATTTACCAGCACACCCAGGTCAAATTGGCACATCTCTTTTTCCACGAGGGAGCATTATGAGAAGGACACTACCCTTGGCCTGAGATGACATTACAGAGGCCTCCTCAGCACCATCATAGCTGAGCGATTACAGAACTGAACAGCAATTTATCTCTTCATCAAGGAACAGAGGTGAATGGAGAATCTTTTTTTTTTTCTTCCAGGGAGGGAAGGTATTTTTTTACAACTGCATCATTTCAGTTTAGAGCAGCTCCATTGTATCAGCTGAATCTCATGAGAGGGCACGCAGCGACGTTCCTGCGCAGAGGAAACTGAACAGGAGACAAAAACATCTTAAATGGGAGCTGCCACCGAAGGAACAGGGAGTGGAAAGGCAGGAGGATTTATGTCTATACACACACACAATCTTAAAGAGGAATTTAGTGGTCAAAACAATCGGGCACGTGACAAGGCAGTATTCTGGCAAGTCACAGACTATCAGCCATATACACCATGAATTTTCTCAGCAGCAGTTCGGATGCCAGGCAGCCTTCATACAGACACTTCTGAATTTCCCTTCTGAGCACAGTGTGCAGTTTTATAAACATACGCTCCAAGAAAGCATTGTGGCCAACGGCTGGGAGAAGAGAGAAGGGCATTAATTAAAGGCCGGATTGACTTACTGCAAACAATAATGAGGTAATAAATATACTGCCCTGTTAACACCTGGGCTGTAACCTGTGGGCTGATGACGGACGGATTGCCTCCATATAGCTTCTGGGACTGCTTGGTTCACTCTTTGTTTTCGTTGTGGATGATTTATTACCTGCCATCCTACTGCATATTCATTCCGACACTCACCCCCACCTAGAAGTGTGCCTGAACCCCGGCTGCAGCTACTGCTGATGGAGAAGCGTGGCTTCAGCAGGGGACACTGCGCCCCAGGAACGCCCCGCAGCTCGCCACTGATGGGATGGCCTTGTTGTACAAGCCCTCTCCTCAACCCCGACCAAGGTCAAGGGAAAGAGGGAGGTTATGTGTAAGAAAGGTGGGGCTGCTCTTGCTTCTCTCCAACCATCGATACTCTGCAAACAGAGCTGGCCAAATAAGATAAGCAGAGAAGTGTCAGTATCAACACCCAGACGTGTGATAGCAGGAGAGGTGCTCTGTCAATCACAAATCAAGAGATGGGGGTTGCTTAGATACGAGGCACGAGCTCTGCATATTAGAGGAGACAGCAGCAGGAGACATGCTTGCTACAAGCTGCGTGTCATTTATTTCTGAGCCACTCTGTTTATTTCCATCACTCTGCAAGCTCAGTTACGCTGGGAGCTGCAGCAAGACCTTGGTGTGGTGGGAGGGATGCTGCATTATCTCACCCATAGCGGCCAAGTGGTGCAGGGTAGTGGTTGCAAAATGCCACCGCTCCTTTGCAGACAGAGCCTGCAGGATGAAGGACTGACTTCTGAGATGGCTACGCTTCCCCCTGGCCACAGGGGAGGAGGGAGGGACAGCACCGTGAGAGCACATCAGGAATGGGATGTACCACAAGATGTGAGGAACCACATGATTGTATCCCCAGGAGAAGAGCAAGAGTGTTGTTTAATGTACGAAGACACAAGTGACAGCAAAATGGAGAAATAGCATTTTCCAGCGGGCCATAAGCTTGCTTGGGCTTGGTCTGTTCACCCCAAGAGCTGTAGCAGAGGCTAAGAACAGCACTCTACCCAAGTAGCAATGGGTACTTAAGATGCAGTGGTCAAAGAAAGTTTTCTTACAACTTTTCTTTAAACTCTCCCCATAATTCTAACGTGTTTGTTTATTAAACAAAAACAAAACAAAAACCAAAAACCAACCCATCAGACAGAAAGTTCTACACTTTTAGGCTGATAATTGAAACCAAATCTGCTGGCTTCAGAACTCATTGAAGAATATAAATGTGAAACTGGGAAAGAACTTCACTTCTTACTACTAAAGACGTATCTGAGACAAAGTACATTTTGTAACATCAACAATCTGTCTCTTTCACAGGCTGTTCTACTATAGCAATAATTCTTGGATATAATGTCTCCACTTACTTATATTTAGAGGCTGTGAAATGATGAACTCAGCTTCTATCTACAGCTTTCCATTTTCTAAACAGCACTGGTTGCATAGGGACCTCTTGCTGATCAGCACTCTTCTTTTCAATCCTACTGCTAAATTCTTCCCTTTAGCTATACCAGGGTCATCACTGCTGAAATTCCATGGGACAAAATTGACACTGGAGAAACATAACTCACTACCCATCTTAAATGCTCCTGAAGATGGACTTCACCCTAAAAGTGTTGAAAGCCCACGTGGGCATGGTTTTGCAAAACACCAGTCAGAAAGATTTAACAGTACATTGCACACTTCTCTATTAGGACAGTTCACTTTGGACTTATTTACT